CCTGAATGGGCCCGGATGGGGTGGTCGTAGTGGACTTTTTTGTAGCCCCATCGATTATCTATCCAACCATGCATATAGTTTTGAAAGTTTGTACCACACTTTTCTAGTGTAAAAATGTCAAAAAGTGCCATTTTTCAATATTTGGGTCACCCTAATTTTTTGGCTTTGCGAGTTTTTGGCCATAAGAAGTTTATACACCAAGTTTGAGCGAAATCGGAGAGGTCACTTGCAATTTTTGTCCCACTTGGTGTGGAATGGTCGTACAAAGATATACAATGCACATTAACACAGAATCAATCGAAGCACTAATGTGAATCTCAGCTGATATCCCATCTCTTTCATTCCAAACGCAAGTACAATCGGTGATATCGCCAATATTTCACAAAAATCACAACCGTTCTTTGCTTGAAGATTCAGAAGTCGTAAACACAAAAAAGAGAATAAATAAAGCAAAGAATCATTATGAAAACTAATATAATGGTTTAATAGTTTGAATTTATGGAAAATGAACACCAAATTTGTTCAAATATGTGTGCAAAGTGGTTGAATGTGATCTCAGTGTTTCAAAGTGATTGGCATATCTAATTAAATCACAAACATTCATTCACACAACATGTTCAATATCTAACACAAAATGAACGATGTTTAAAAACAAAAATGTAACGGTATTACTACGTGTTGCTATCTCTATTATGAAATGAATTGGCATAATGACACTGCACACTGAACAGTTGCTTGTTGTATTTCATTTCCAATGCTATTGTTGTTGCTGACTCTCGTAATTTTTTTGTAAACAAATGGCATACACACTAAACCGTTAAGTTAAAACCCACACAAGATCTTGAGCTATGTTCAAAGATATGCGTTTTTTATTTCGTTGGAGTTGTAAACAATTGAATAATACGGACAATCCAAATTCCAATTTCTTACTTTATTCAACAAATTTAACTCCAAAGTTTCTCTTGGTCGAATAGATCAGAAAAAATCTCTTTATGCCAAAAAGTCATTCATTTCAACAGAAAGAAAGGTTCTTCTTTTAAATAATAAGAAAATAAATGACTAATAGAGTCAAAGAAAAGAAAAATTGCTGTGCGCTAAGATCAAAAAAATTCTATACAGAAAGATGTATTAAAAAAAAGGTCCCTAGTTGAGATTGAACTCAGGACTTTCATAGCTCGGATCCACTACTCTACGCTCAGAGCCGATTTGGGCTCTCCGTAAAAAAGTATAGTTTCTCTTGGTATGACATCAATACCTCTCTGTTTGATACACACGGTTTATGCTCTCTCTAGTGTGGTGTTTGATGAAAGTCATGACAGAAAATCATTCAAATTTAAATGAAAAATATTACAATTAATATATATTTACCCTTGTATCAAACCAGTTTTTCAGAGAGCAGTTTTTTAACTTAAAACTCATTCACAATTCGTAAAAATTTGCAATATTGCACACAGCAAAACAATAAAAACATTCGTACGCCAGCGAGTGCACTACAATGTATCAGTTTGCTCTTTGCATTTTGTCATCGAACGATGTGTACACACACAATCGCTGTCAAGTGGCCGTGTCGATCTGACACTTGTCATTGTGTGGAAGGCATTCAATTGAATCAGTTCGATCATTCACACCGGCTGCACACAGTCGTTTTTATTGCATATGTGAATTGAACGAAAGGCGCTCAAATTGTTGTCATAGACGAAAGACGCTCTATAAAATGAAAAATTCTAAACTGTTTATTCAACTTTTAAATGTGATAAATAATAAATATAATAAATTGAATATAAATATAATAAATTCAATATAATAAGTGACAAAAAACCTGGCGTCCATTAAAATTGGTCCCATGGGGTGGAATTAAAACAAAGAGGCAAGTTACATTCTTCAAAAACAAATGCAGATTTTCAAAATAAAGTTATTTATTTCAGCTGAAAACATCCAGAAGTTGGTGGATGAGTTGAATGCAGCAGTTGAACACCACAAAAGCCATCAAGGAAAAAATGACCCGTCACCAGATGTCAAAATAGACATCTTTGAGTAAACTTGGCTGATTATTGTTCTAGAACTAGTTTTCATTTTCATTTTTTTCATTATTCTTCATATCATTTAATTTTCAACCAGTTTTCACAAATATACTGATAAGAAACATGGAAGGCATTGAGAAGCCACAATTCTCTTGATATGTAAGACATGATTTCAAGTTTTGAAATAAAACTATTAAAAATGACTGGATTTCAATGATTCGTTATTTTTTCGATTGTAAAAATCGGGTCGAATTTTTTTCAAGAAAATTTCGAAATCTCTTTTTTTATAGTTTATTGAATTGAATGAGTAAATCTTTTGCTTCTGCTTCGTTCACTTAGACTGCTACGCTCACTCGCTCACTAGCACTGACAAATCAAAGATGGCCGTTCTTAAAAATATTTAAAATTTACGCACTGTATTAGTACTCACATCAGTCCAAATCTTTTTTTCACGAATATAATTAGTACGTTGTTAGAATATATTCGTACAATGTATGAATAACATTCCTAGAGAAATCAATCATACAATTTTTGAGTGTAGTAACAAGCAGTTTTGGTTTTCGGAACAAGTGGCCGAACAATCGCTGTATCTCCTGTCACAGCCAGAAAACCATCCTGAAATTTTGATGGTGGATTTGTGACAAATATTGGAATCATTTTTTGGCGTCTATTTGGCGTTGATATTTAAATGATCATATTTTCTTCCAGGTGCATTGTAGAGCAAAATGTTCAAAGAATAAAATATTCTTACTGACTTGAAGAACATTTTATTCTCAAGTTTAAATATTGTATCAGCAAAGAGGCCCTAAGCAATGGAATTTTAAAATAGAAGAAATTTCAGCTGTTCGCTTTCAAAGTGGAGTTACGAGAGTATTTTCTTAATGAACTTTTATTGAAAAATAGCGAAAATTTAATTGTGAGTGTGTTCCCGAATATTTTTGTCAAACTTGGTGAAAACCAAGTTTTTGAAATATGTTTCCTTTCGTGCACTCTGCGTCCTTATGGTTTTATGAGCTACTCCGAGCATGCGTTCTGCACCATCATTGACTACTATTATGCTTTGTTCTATCACATTTTTTATTATTCTGTACGAGGTTACATACTCCCATGTTGCTGCGTCTTGTGTGAGAAAATCAGCATTGATTTCCAAAAGTTGAAATAGGGAAGATGAACGCATTTGTATAAAGTCGTCCAAATCTAAAGTACTAAATCGAGGTGTTTCGTCTATTTCATATTTCAGTGATGATGCATCTCGATCTGCTACATTCGTTTGAATTTTATTACGCATCCTATTTTTGGTAGCAACTGATACGTTGTTTGAAAATAACGAAAGTGTTATAAGCTCTCCGCCAAGATACCACAAATGTTCACTGTAGCTAGCCATTGCAACTCGAGCGATGTCACCGTCAAATTGCTCATAAAGTTCTAGCTGTTGCATTAGCGTTAAGTCGTTAACAGGTGCATTTACAACAGATGTAGCTCGATTCCAGTATTTGACGTAGATTTGACAAACGAAGAGGCAAATTCTTTTCAGAGAATCGCATGTTTCTGGATCCAAGTCTAACTGATCTCTGAATAAGTGGCTTTTCCCACCAATATAGCCTTTGCCATCACCTTGAATAAAGCGATTAAAAATGTTCATTTAAGTTACGATGCTCATAAAAACTTAGATGCTTACCAAGTATTTAATATTTACATTGAATTTTAGTTTGTCTAGTACGCACCAAAACTACTTGAACAAGGAACCAGGGCATATTTTAAGAAATCTTTAGGAACATGATCTGTCAAATCAAGCCAAATTTACTTCGAGTCATTTTGTTTCAAGTACACTACCGTGCAAAAGTTTGGAACCACTAGGTATTTTTCATACAAATTGACCATTTTTGGTGGACTCATTAACATATTTCGGAAACACCTGCACTCTTGATATTTTGTGTATAGTTTCTACAACGTTTCAATAGTAAATCACAGAGATTTCATCAAAAAATATTCATGAATTTCAAAAATATAGCAATTTGAATTTGTACTGTGTGAAAAATGATCAAATTTGTATGAAGATTAAAACAGATCAAATTCAAATTGATATATTTTTTAAATACGTGAATATTTTTCGATGAAACCTCTGTAATTTACTATTGAAACGTTGTAGAAACTATGCACAAAATATAAAGAGTGCAGGTGTTTCCGAAATATGTTAATGAGTCCACCAAAAATGGTCAATTTGTATGAAAAATACCTAGTGGTTCTAAACTTCTGCACGGTAGTGTAGCTTCGGCGTTTTCTTAGATCTCTGACTTTCTATGTAAATACTAAGTGTTCAAGCAGATCAAGAATCTACTTTTACAAGAATCAAGAAGGCAATTTCATCTACTTGGTTTTTTGTTTGAGTAATTAACTACAATGAGACAATCACCTTGCTTTGCTGGAGGCTCCAATCACTCGGATTTTTTTGCTAGTGGTAACTCCCAGAAGTTTTAGGCAGATGTCATTTAATTCGCCATAATCATCCCTTACCACTGGATTTTTTGTATCTTCTCTGAGCTGATTAATTGCTTGGTCCCTTAAAACAGATAGTGTTGCTGAATATCCTATTTCTTCTTCATCGATAGGTTGATATCTATATTTATGTATGTTATCCCACTCATTTTTCAACTGTTCTAATCCTTCGAAATTGAAACTCGGTGTTTGCACTGTGCCTAAAAGCTCGACGCACACTTTTTTCAGCACGAGTTCCAGAATATGATGCCTACAGCACAGACGGAGGATCTCCTTCTGGATCTTTCTTTCGAATAACACACATGTTCCAGCATGATGTCCAATATTCGTATTTTCTGTATCACAAGAAAGACCTATAATGCGTGTTGATAAGCAGTATTCAATGGCAACGTTCAATAACTTATTGGCTAGTGTTTCAGCCTGTGAATTACAAACAGTGCAAATACAGACTCCATAATGGCATCGTTCGTTATATAAAACAACAGCGAGACGTTTCTGTTTTTGTAAATGGACTGCATTCAGTTGGTCACACGTTTTTGTATCAAATAAAATAACTAATTTGGAATTTCGTTCCTTCATTTGCTCTGAAATTTCTTCATAGGTGTTCTTGCGCAATTTCGTTGATTTCGAGTGAAAAGTTGAAGGTGCTATACAATAGTCATTGAGATTTTCATCAAACTGTTTGATAAATGCTTCAGAAACTTTGTGCATTTGCCTGAAACTAAGCCCAGCATCGTGCATTGCATTTATGGTTTCTGTTTTCAGTTTTTTCTTAGGCTGATAGTCTTCATCATCAGAACTTGTCGGATAATAATTGGATTCACTGTCGGATTTATATTCTTGTTCTGAGCACATTTCAGTATCGTCATCGTCATCTTCCGGTACCAATGACATCAATTCATTACTAGTACCACTACCACCATCACCAACGATCATGCCGTCATCTTCATTCAAATTTAAGTCAAAGAAAGTTAAACGCCGATCATCTCTTTGATCACTTAAAAATGCTTTTTTGATCGCATTCAATTTTGGTTCTGATTTTTGATCAATAATGTCAAACAGCCGTTTGCTTTTGTTAAGAAAATCATTTTCTTTCTTTCCCTGTGATGCAGTACCTGGGGGATTATGATCTAAGTATGATCTAAAATATATTTTACACAAATCATTATGAACAATTGCTGTTTACAAAGTGCGCCAAGTTTACATGATTAATTTCTTCTGTAAATGAAGTGGAAAATGTTCGGCATGAGGAAAACGAAAATGTCTTCAAAGAATGTTTGATTTTTAGACATATAGCTTAATATATCCTAAGTTGCAAATAGAAGGATAAAACCTCTAAAAAGAGAGAGCAATAATTGACAATTTCCATAAAAAGGTAAATATTGGTGAAAAGGTAGAATCTCAAATTTGATAAATGTTGAATAATGAATATCAATAATGTACGACTGTACGTCAACGAAACATATTATGAGAACAACCGAATTCAAAATACATTCAAATCTTGGTTTCCTCAATCTGTTGTATTCATATCAAAAGATGTCAAAATGAATCTTGTAAACTTGCCGTCATTTTATTAGAACTATATAAAATATTATGTTGGCATATTTATTTAGTTCATTACCTTTCGTTCGACTTGAAACTATTGACTTGAAAGTTGCAATGAGATTTTTGACTTTTGTACGAATACTGGTTATACTTCTTTGAGGTAAACCAGCCCGACTCCAAGTGGTTTTGATTGAGTTTACCACTCTTGTCATTTTTTCATTTGCACTTTTATGATCATCCCATTCAAAACAGAACAATTTAACTACATCCATTTCAGTGGGTAGCTGTTCCACAAAAGTCTCAATTGCATCGCCAATTAAATATTGGTAAACGGGATTCAATCTTGATCCGAGACTCTATAAAGAAGTAATAGAGGAGCAATTTTTAGCATTAGAGGAGGACTGTGTTTGAAGGTCATATATTTTGTCGCAAGCCCTATCAGAACTAAATCTCATAGTTTCGAGACGCCACCACAAATGCATTTTAACACATTTTAAGCAATCGAAACTTGTGTGAACGGTTGATTGTGTGTTAACTGTTCATTGTTCAAACAATAAGCACAGAAGTTGAATGTATAGCTGGTGGCATGTACTAGTACTTGTGTTTTTTATGAAGGATAGAAAAATCGAATTCCTCAAACAAATTCTTTGCCGTTATGTAATTGTTCAATGGCTGCTTCAATGGCTTAGTAGCTCTAATTCAATGTTAGTATCTCAATTCCAATGCATTTGCAAAAATTGAGTGTAAAATGTAATCAATGGTCCTTATTAAAATGCAATCAGATCGATATGAATCTTGATTTGATCTCGAACATAGTTTAATCTAGTTCGATCTGCGTTCAATTACAGTTTAATCTCGGATCGATTCGATCTTTGTCAAGGTTGGATTGCATTTCGCGTTCAATTGCCACTATAAAATAGCATTCGATTTGGTCGCTGATCGATTTGCATTCAAGAAAATATCACAAAATCAACTAGTTAGTGATAATTCTATCGTAATCTAGTATCCACCGGAAATGCTCTGTAGATTTGAAACTCTAAACGATTCAACTGAATATTTGCGTCAACTGAATTGAAATGATAAACTGGCCATTACCGTTTCGCTTGCCCGAATCAAATACATCACATTTACATCGAAATTGAACCTTCCTTGCACAATTCAATTTGTTATCATTAGCAAAAAATTCTAGCATCAAAAGAATTTATCTCATTGACGAACTGAATGACTGTTTTCAACGTGCAAGCGATGGTGGTTCGATAATGAAATGATTAAAAGATTTCGTTCTGAGCTATTTTCGGAAATAAGGACTGTGTGTTCAAAATTTCAATTTTTTCTTTAAAAATAAATGCTAAGGTTTTTCACTTTAAATTGCTACTGAAAAAATGTACTGATTGCTGTATATTTAAAAACAATATTGATGTATCAGTGGCTTAGTTTGGAATATCAGCCAATCGAGGTCTGGTGTGGATCTTACCGGACGTGGATCTTTCACAGATGAACTTGATGCTTCTTCTAATTCCATAACGACCAGTTCAGTTGAAATCGATGAGTAACAAAAAAAACTGAGACAATTCACGAAAAAAACTTGCACCTATGTCAAAGCCAAATTGATTGATTTAAAATAGTTCAATTTTCAATTTTTCTGTCACTTATGATGAAATTTAATAGACTTTCCCGAAATTAAGAACAACATGTCACTGAAATCTGAATTCCGTATGACCAATGCTTTTCACGATTAACAGTAATAAATAAAACACATTTTGGATTGAATTCAATGTTCAATTAAAAGTGAATTTATTTGATTGTCACTCAGCATGTTCAATTGTTCATTCATCAAACTCATCCTCGAAAACACGTTTTCCAAATTTCGATTGGGCATTTTTGAATTTTTTTTGAAGGTATTCCTCATTAGCGATCATGGTAAATGAAGAATCTGCACTTTTCAGAACCACGAAAATCAGCTTCGTTATAGATGTATATTTCTTAAAGGCTGGCTTCGGTGATACGTATTTATTCTTTGACATTCCTGTGTAGGAATGCTCTTTCAGTAGTTCTGGTGTAAAGCAATAGGATAACAAATAATCCCCAACTTTTTTGAAATCAACTTCACCTGAAGTTCCACCGATATTGGATGAAAGTGACTTGGTCTAGAAGAGAAATAACAGATACATTGCAATTGTTTTAAGAAAAAATGTTTAAAAAAATTAAAATCTTACTAGTTTCCGACGGAACTCTCTGTCACTTTTTAATTTCGCCTCAAAATCGTTCATTTCGGAAATTGTGCTGATCGGGAATATGTCATCATCATCGAAAATCGATTCGGTGGTAAGTCGCCGAGTGGGCCTCTTCATCTGCTTTGAAACACCTTCAAAAGCTTCGGTCAGCTTCTCGATTTTTTGCTGTATAAAAGCAAGTTTTTCAAGCGTCGAAGAATCGTCCATATTTACGTTTGGGTTGCAATGTGTGACACATCAACTTGACAATGACAAAACGTGAGACTATCCATTTAAAATAAGAGGTTACTACTATCAATTTGCCAAAGTCTGTTATTCTAGGACTACACTTCAGCTTTTTTATAAAAAAGACTTTCCGTTACATGTTAGTATAACTTGTAATGTTTCCGTTTGGTAAAAGCTTATTTTAATCTAATGCGTTTTTATTTGTTATTGCTACTCACCATTATGATCTATGTTTCGGTAGAAACGAATTGCGACTTTAGTCTTTCTACGATTATGATTGTACGATTATAATTTTTGATGATGATGACATATTCCCGATCAGCACAATTTCCGAAATGAACGATTTTGAGACGAAATTAAAAAGTGACAGAGAGTTCTGTCAGAAACTAACTTTAACTTTTTTTACATTTTTTTAACCAAGTCACTTTCATCTAATATCGGTGGAACTTCAGGTGAAGTTGATTTCAAAAAAGTTGGAGATTATTTGTTATCCTATTGATTTACACCAGAACTACTGAAAGAGTATTCCTACACAGGAATGTCAAAGAATGAATATGTATCACCGAAGCCAGGCTTCAAATAATTTACTTCAATTACCAAGTTGGTTTTTTAGGTTTTAAGAAGCGCCGATTCGTCTCATACTCTGCAATGATGACGAATACGAATTTTTAAACATCCACCATACCTTATATACGAAAAAACCAATGTTATAACGAGATTCCTGTTCAATAGGGTGGATCAGTTTTTATATTGAGAAATAATAGCCCTCTGTACGGCAAAATGTTGGACTTGTTGGACTGTAGGTGTTGTAGAAAAAAATCTAGTGTAAATATTTTTCTTCTGATCTGCAATATTGAATGCTTTGTTCTTCACATGCTATGTCAAACGCATATTTACGATATTTTACAAAAAACCGATTCACCCTATATCTCAATAAAATAAAAGATTTGCCACTCCAAATTGAAGGTCAAAATAACAAACACGAACATTATCTACAATTCTACATTGTCTAGACAAACAACGTTTCATGAAACAATCGGGTCAAAAGCATATTGACTTAAAGTTGTTTATTTTTATATTTAAAACCAGGGGCCTGTTGCACAGTACTGTTACAATTTTTGTAAATTGTAATTGTAATTGTAAATACAATTCGTTGTAAAATTGTATTTACAATTCTACAATAATTGTAAAATTGTATTTACAATTCTACAATAATTGTGAACTTGTATTTAAAATTGTATTTACAATTTTACAATAATTGTAAAATTGTTTTTCAATAA